AAGAACCAACATTATTTTACGGCATGCTTATCGAATGCTACATTAAATACAAAATTATCTCAGTCCAAAACCTCAAACTAAACTTTCTTAAAACTTCACAAAGCTATTAAAGTATCAGAGTTTCAACTAAAGATTTACAATTTTGAGGAAACTTAACAACAGTTCAAACATCCTTTAAGTGATTGCCGAACTGTCAGTTGTTCTAGACCTGATTTGGTTCACTTCAGAACCAAGGATTTCCTTACCTATGTGTGTAAAACATTTGGACCACGACTCAGATGCCCTGGGTTTTAGGCTTAGCTCCTATACTTGTACTTACAATTGGTAAGTATAGGAGACGAGCCTTAAACCCAGGACATCTGAACTTGGTCAAAGGCACTAAGCCTTGATTTTCTCTCCCAGTCTGCCTATATGTAGAGTGTTTATGAGGATAAAATAAAAGGATATAAAAGTAATTAAATATAAAATTATGAAATATTATTATTGATATAAGTTATTATAAAGTATTTAAAAGATCACATATTGGAAAAGCTCCACTATCACGTTCCCCCATTCACCATGCTTACCAGTGACCACCGCGCCCAGCAGTCACAGGTAAGCCGCCTCATCAGGCGGCCAGAGCACCTGTGCCTGCATCTATTGTTGCTCTTACCACGCTGGATGTGTTACAAATGCTGTTTGCTGGACTGTCAGCCCCACGAGACCCTGTACTCCTCAAATTCTGCATCTCCCGTGGTGGGCACAGACAGACACTCATCTGTGGGATGTTGACAAATGCCCCAAAGGGAAAAAGTTAACGTTTGACATTAGCATAAGCAGGATACAAAATCCCAGGGTACTAAGAGGTAAGTCTCATTCCAAATTCCCTCAGACACATTCAGAGAAACTAGGGAAATACTTTCTAGTACTGAAAGGTAACTCAAATCCTTTCTGACTCCTTCAAATGGGAAAGGGGGATAAATATCCTCTTGATAAATGGAAACCTCAGAGAGTATGGGATGTATAACCTTGCTAATCTCATAGTTTCCACCAAATAATGTGCAGTCAATATTCTCAAATTAATTTCAATAGGTAGTAATGCATAATTCTCTGTGCTGGCCAAACATCTGTTCACACCAAGTTATTTTACTAAAACTGAAGTCAATTGCTGCCTGCTTTGATTAAAACGCTCCGTTGTCTCAACTTTCTTCAGTCCTCTAACATTAGGAAAATGAAAGTGAACTTGCATTGATTCAAGAAAGAAAGTATGGCTCTCTTATTGGAAACTGTGTATTTTGGAATAAAAGAGAGTCAAAGAGCAATCACATTAAGGTGATAATACCAACCTTTAGCTACAATTTTGAGTGAACAAAATAAAACTGAACACTCCTCAGACAAGCCAAACTGGGGTTTTCTTTGGAAAGTTTTAATGGAAGTCCTAGGTCATATTTTAACTCAATATACAAAACTTTGATATAATAGCATTTGGGTATTAGGACATTAATCTGTCGTACAGCATTTGAGTCCTGCCAAATACAAATATTTCAAGTCTCCATGACATGCTCTTCACTCTACTGGGGTCTGATGCAGGGTCATCTAAAAATAGCAGTTGGAGACACAGCCAGATCTCCCAGGCAATGCTGAAGAGGCACCTCTAAATGGCAGAAATGGTAGTTTAAAGAGACAGTACAGCTTATTAAGGCCCTGAGAGTAAAGCACAGTGGGAGAGCTACCATCCCCTATGGCTCAACTCCTTGTACATACTCTGTGGTCATATCCATCTGAACTCATTCTTCGCGCACATTAGACAGTAATCATTATTCTAAACAAAAGGGGGATTTCATACTCAACTAATGGGGTAAAATACGTCACAAGACACAGAATTTTATTTTATTTACTTGTGTGTGTGTGAGTGGTACGCGGGCCTCTCACTGTTGTGGCCTCTCCCGTCGTGGAGCACAGGCTCCGGATGCGCAGGCTCAGCGGCCATGGCTCACGGGCCCAGCCGCTCCGCGGCATGTGGGATCTTCCCGGACAGGGGCACAAACCCGTGTCCCCTGCATCGGCAGGCGGACTCTCAAACCACTGCGCCACCAGGGAAGCCCAAGACATAGAATTTTAAAAGATTCCAGAGATCAACTGGAACAGCGGGTCTCCAACTTGGAAGTGCATAAGAATCACCTGGCAGGCTTGTCGACACAGCCTTCCTCTGTGTGGCTATTACATTCCACGTCCTCTTGCCACCTCAAAGACATCGTTCTAGAAATTGTCCCCTTTTCTCTGTAATACTCCTCCTCTCTATTGAGTCATTCCACACTGGTATATAAGCATACTGCTACCTCTCCCACTGTTTTAAAATTTTTCCTTTGAACTCTGGTTTCTCCACTGCCACCACCCCATTCTTCTCATGCCTTATATGCAAAATGCCTCAAAAAGCTGTCTACACTTGCTTTCTCTAACTCCTCTGTTTCCATTCTCTCTTGAACTTCAATCCAATTCTCGCCCTCACCACTACACTGAAACCACTCATGGCAAGGACATCAATGACCCCCACGTGGTCAAGCCAACGGTCAGTCCTCAGTCCCCATCTTGTTTGTTCCATCACCAGCATCTGACTCAGTTTATCCATCCTTCCTGTCGGAAGCACATTCTTCACCTGGCTTCCAGAATACCACACTCTCCTGGTTCTCTTACCACCTCGCTGGCTGTTATGAATTGAATTGTGTCCCCCCAAAAAGATACGTTGAAGTCCTAACCCCCAGTACCTGAGAATGTAACCATGCTTGGAAATAGGGTCTTTGCAGATTTCCCATATATAACCAGGTTAAGGTGAGGTCATTAGGGTGGGCCTTAATCCAACTCGACTGGTGTCCTTATGAAATGGGGAAATTTGGACGCACAGAGGCACAGAGGGAAGATGAAGTGAAGATACACGGGGAGAAGATAACCATGTGACTGGAGTGACGCATCTACAAGCCACTGAATACCACGTGTTGCCAGTAAACGCCAGAAGCTAGAAGAGGCAAGGAGGAACTCCCCCACTAGAGCCATCAGAGGTAGCATGGTCCTGCTAACACCCTGAATCAGACTTCTAGCCTCCAGAACTGGGAGACAATAAACATCTGTTGTTTGAAGCCACTCAGGTTTTGGTGCTCTGTTCTGGCAGCTGTAGGAAACTAAGACACTGGCTAACCCTCCTTAGCATGTACGGCTGGTTCTCAACTGCCTAACCTTGGGGTGGCTTAGGGCTCAGTCACTGTACTTCTTTACTTTCCTGTATATACCCACACCGACTAGATCTCGACCAGTCTCACGGCTTTAAATACCTTCTCTATGCTGACTCCAGCCCAGACTTGTCTCCTGATCTCCAGGCTCATGGATCCACCTACCTTCTTCACATATCTTGGATGTCGGGTAGACATCTCAAACCTAACCAGTCCCACACCAAACTCCTGATTCTCCCCAGAACACCCGTGCCTCCTTGGGCCTCTCCCGTTTCCGTAAATTACTACTCACTGACCAATTTCTCAGACAAAAAAAAAAAAAGGGATATTTATCTCCTTGTATTTTTTTTTAATTAATTTATTTTTATTGTTGGCTGCATTGGGTCTTTGTTGCTGCGCACGGGCTTTTCTCTTGTTGCGGCAAGCAGGGGCTACTCTTCATTGCAGTACACAGGCTTCTCATTGCAGTGGCTTCTCTTGTTGCGGAGCACAGGCTCTAGGCATGCAGACTTCAGTAGTTGTGGCACGTGGGCTCAGTAGTTGTGGCGCATGGGCTTCGTTGCTCCGCGGCACGTGGGATCTTCCCGGACCAGGGCTCGAACCTGTGTCCCCTGCATTGGTAGGCAGATTCTTAACCACTGCGCCACCAGGGAAGCCCTATCTCCTTGTATTTTCTATAACCCACACCCCAAAGGTAAATCCTGGTGGCTCCACCTCCAAAATATATTCTGAACGTGACCCCTTCCGATCTCTTCCACTATCACTACCATGGCACAAACCCCATCGTTTCCCACCTGGATAACTGCCCCTGACACCTGATGGGGCTCCCTGCATCCACCCCTGCCTCCTACAGTCTATTCTCAACAGAGCGACCAGACAGGACTTGTAAAACATAAATCAGACACCATCACTCTTTTCTTCTCGGTTAGTGGAAGTCAAAATTCTTAAAATCTTCTAAAAGAATTTTCTGCTTCCTGCTTCTTGCAAGCCCCGCCTCCTTTGCCCTGTACTCTCTCCATTCATCGTTCTTACTTTCTCCAACACACCACCGTGCTTCCACCTCCTATCTTTATACTTGCTCTTTCCCCGAACATCACAGCTCCCTCTCTCACTTCCATCAGGTCTGCTCAAATATCCCCTCATTGGAGACCATCTCTGATTATCCAGCATAAAATAGGAACCCACCCCTCACCCCAGCATTCTCTTTCCCTGCATTACTGTTTCCACAGCATCAAGCACCAAGTGATTTGTGAGCTATTAACCATTTTCTTAAATCTGTGTCCTTTCACTAGAATGAAGTTCCATGAGAGCAAGGGAACTGCTATATCCCCAGCTCCTAAACTGGGCCTTGTACTTGGTAGGCACTTAATACACGTGTTTTAAGTGAATGAAGAAATTAAAAGAAGGAGGTAGAAATCCCTAACATGAGGTGACATTTGTTTTTACATAAATAGCTTTTTCACAAGTTCATCTACCTACATTTCTCCAAAGTTGGCACAAGCACAGCTCAGTCTCAGCCTTGCAAACATTGTGGCCATAAAAAAATAATAAAATAATCAGAGATCCTAGGAAGAAGTAAAACACTTCAGATTTACCCCCCAGAAAGTATATTATTCTTCCTTTAAATGATGTTTTTGCCCCTAAAGATGGCTGCGTCCTCCTCGGCCTCACAGTCCCTCAGGATTGAGCCACCTACTTGGCATCAGCTTCTCCTCTGCAGAAGTTGTACCTGGGTCGGCTCTACAGATAATAATCTGTAAATTATCACAGTTTACGTGCACCTAAGTTACAGACGCAATCACATAGCCATATGAATCAAGTGTCTGCTTCTTCAGGATGAAATGACCATCCCAAAATGTACTTTCCCAACATGCAAAATGCAAGCCCAATGAAAAGAGCCAAGATGTAAAATGAGAATACTGAAGCAGTCAGTGATGAAGATGCGGATCGCATTCTCTATGTACACAGCAGCTGCATCATTTGTGAGGTTTAATTTTATCAGACTGACTTCTATTTCATGTGCCAAGTTTTTTTTCCATTAGGATTTCAGCAGGTGCGATGTGACAAATCAATACAGCTAAATTCTTAGCCTCTGAACTAAGAAAACGCTCTATCACAACGTGTTAGGGTGAAAGACAGAAAAAGTTGGGGGAGGGGAAGCAAGAAAAGGCAATAAAGAGAAAGAAATGAGATTTTGAAAGGAATCTGGCTTTTTCGCAACGGGCTTGCCGCCAGGACACAGGTGTCAGGAAAACCACTGCTGAACCTAAGCAAAAATGGGAAAGGAGACATCAACATCGTTGTCATCGGACACGTAGATTCGGGGAAGTCTACCACTCCTGGCCATCTGATCTACAAATGTGGTGGGATTGATAAGAGAACCATTGAAAAGTTTAGAGAAGAAGGCTACCGAGATGGGAAAAGGCTCCTTCAAGTATGCCTGGGTCTTGGACAAACTGAAAGCTGAACTCGAGCGTGGTATCACCACTGATATCTCCCTATGGAAATTCGAGACCAGCAAGGACTATGTGACCACCACTGATGCCCCAGGACACAGAGGCTTCATCAAAAACATGATGACAGGCACATCCTGGGCTGACCGTGCTGTCCTGATGGCTGCTGCTGGCGTTGGTGAATTTGAAGCAGGTATTCCCAAGAATGGGCAGACCCGTGAGCATGCCCTTCTGGCCTACACTCTGGGTGTGAACCAACTAATTGTTGGAGTCAACAAAACGGATTCCACCGAGCCACCCTACAGCCGGAAGAGACACGAGGAAACTGTTAAGGAAGTCAGCACCTCCATTCAGAAAACTGGCTACGACCCCGACACAGCAGCTTTTGTGCCTGTTTCTGGCCGGAATGGTGAAAACATGCTGGAGCCAAGAGCTAACATGCCGTGGTTCAAGGGATGGAGAGTCACCCGTAAGGATGGCAGTGCCAGTGGAACCACACTGCCTGAAGCTCTGGATGGCGTCCTGCCACCAACTCGCTCAACTGACAAGCCCTTGCGTTTGCCCCTCCAGGACGTCTACAAAATTGGTGGTATTGGTACTGTCCCTGTGGGTCGAGTGGAGACTGGTGTTCTCAAACCTGGCATGGTGGTCACCTTTGCTCCAGTCAACTGAAGTCTGTTGAAACGCACCAGGAAGCTTTGAGTGAAGCCCTTCCTGGGGACAACGTGGGCTTCCATGTCAAGAACGTGTCTGTCAAAGATGTTCGTGGTGGCAATGTGGCTGGTGAGAGCAAAAATGACCCACTGATGGAAGCAGCTGGCTTCACAGCTCAGGTGGTTATCTTGAACCATCCAGGCCAAAGCAGTGCTGGCTGTGCACCTGTGCCGGATTGTCACACAGCTCACGCTGCTTGCAAGTTTGCTGAGCTGAAGAGGATTGATCATTGTTCTGGGAAAAAGCTGGAAGATGAGCCCAAATTCTTGAAATCTGGTGATGCTGCCATCGTTGATACGGTTCCTGGCAAACCCATGTGTGCTGAGAGCTTCTCTGACTATCCTCCTCTGGGCCGCTTTGCTGTTCGTGACATGAGACAGACATGCTGTGAGTGTCATCAAAGCAGTGGACAAGGCAGCTGGAGCTGGCAAGGTCACCAAGTCTGCCCAGAAAGCTCAGAGGGCTAAATGAATATTATCCCCAACACCTGCCACCTCAGTCTTAATCAGCGGTGGAAGATCGGCCTCAGGACTGTTTGTCTCAATTGGCCATTTAAGTTTAATAGCAAAAGACTGGTTAATGATAACACTGCATCGTAAAACCTTCAGAAGGAAAGGAGAATGTGTTGTGGACCATTTGTTTTGTGTGTGGCAGTTTTAAGTTATTACTTTTTAAACTCAGTACTTTGCAATAGAAACAACTTGACCAAAAATCTGTCACAGAATTTGAGACTCATTAAAAAAGTTTAAGAGGGGGAAAAAAAAAAAGGAATCTGTTATGTATGCCCAGGAGTGCTGTTAGAAATTTTGTTCCTTTGTGTCCATATCTGAAGGATTTAGATATGTGTCTTACCCGGCCAACCCCTAAATCCCCCACTGGTCTAGTTATTACTGCTACACACAACAGAAGTAGGACTTGAAATGGGATCTCGGGAATGTGACAGTGCTGTGGCATCAATTTTTTTTAACGTATTGAGTATCTGAGAAGAGTGTGCACCTAAAGAGCACAAAGAAGGGAGGGGTGGCCAAGCTGCGGTCAAGAAGATGAATCTACTAGAATGATTTTGCTGCAAAGGAGAACCAAAAGTGGAAGTTGAGCATATAAAAGATAAAGCATTAGAAATAAAGGTTGCACAAAAGGCCACAGGTATATGAAAGCCAGAGCGATTTCAGCTTGGGGACACTTGGGACATTACGATATATGCCCAATTGCTCCAGGGACTGAAGGACATAGCAAAAGCCCTGGTGTTTAAAAGAGACGCTCAACCACACACGCAGTTACGATCTTGTTCCCTCATACCTTCCACCTTATTTCTAACCTCCTCGGGTGTCCACCCTTGCACACGTCACATGCATGGCCCTGCTCCTACATCGCTCCCCATGTGCTATCAAGGACACAGGCTGTGGCTTCTGTCCTGCATGGTACCTAATGCTCTAAGTTCGCAATTAATATCAAACCACTAATAGTTATTAGAGACCTAATATTTTAGACTAACATTAGAATTACATTTAATTAAATTTAATGAATAAATTGTAATGAGTACCATGGAGCTGGAATGTCTCTTTAATGAAATCCATGGAAACATGACTGAGATTATCAAGGTTTTCTATTCAAACTTTTAGAATCAATGTTGGTTATATTTTCCTTCTGATTCCCACTGTAGAACAGAAATGTTTTTTTGATTTTAATTTTTATTGGAGTATAGTTGCTTTACAATATTGTGTTAGTTTATACTGTACAGCAAAGTGAATCAGCTATGTGTATCCACATCTCCCCTTTTCTGGATTTCCTTCCCATTTAGATCACCACAGAGCACTGAGTAGAGTTCCCTGTGCTATACAGTAGGTTCTCATTAGTTATCTATTTTATACATAGTATCAATAGTGTATAGATGTTAATCCCAATCTCCCAATTCATCCCACCACCTCCCTTTCCCCCTTGGTATCCATACATTTGTTCTCTGTTTGTTCTCTACGTCTGTGTCTCTACAGAAATGCTTTTAAATATCTCTGGAGTTACAGGTTTTTTTTTTTTTCACTTGGGATTTTTGTTTTATTTTGTTTTGCTTTATTGTTTAAAAACCACAGCAATGATGGAGGCTTAAAATAGAAAACTAGTACCTATTTAAATATATAGTAGAGGTCAAAAAACAATCTGAATTCAAATGAGATTTCTAAAAACACATACATATTTCCTTTCTGATTTCTACAGATTTGTTCACTCCTTAAAAACTTTTATGCTATTTTGGGATTTTTACTGCAAAGCCAGGATAAGCCCTGATTTTTATCTGTTGAGGGTGTTTCCTACTCAGAAAAACAATCCAGGTCAACCACCACAATAATCATAAACACAATGGCCAAGGATACAGAAAAAGAAAATTCATGAGTTCACATCCAGCACATAGGGATCTGACTCAACTTTAAGAAAAAATTAATAATACACACAATCCCCTTCACTTTTATTGACCATTTAAGGCAAATGAAAGTTTTTATTAACTTTTACTAATTAAATTATTCTGCTTCTTTATTCAAGTGTTAATGAAGTTTTTAAAGTAATGACTTTAGGAGACGCATTTCTAATTACTATTTCTAAAAACATGGCAAACCATGTTCTTACCACATCAAAATTAAGCCATTACTTATAAATGCCCATAATTAGAAATGCAGTATAAATTCTGTTCTAACAAACCAAGCCACTGTGTCTTAAAGATAGGATAATTAGCACAGATACTATTAAATGGGTGCTATGGTGATAGGTGCCGTAGAGATGTACAGACAGACGGGGTGAGGGGAAAAAGCAGCCCGAAAAAGGAAATTGATTTGTGCAAGCAGAAGAAAAAAAATCTTGAGAATGAGATAGGCAACTGGAGGGAAGAAACAAATCAGCAGAGGGGCTTTTTAACTGATATTAGCAAGGTGTGTTGTAACAAATATTTAGTACAGGTAGTTCTCCCTGTATATCGAGTCTGCCCAATAATGAGTCACTGAAAGGGTTTATTCCTGGATGGCACTGAACTATACATGGAAAGCGCCTTTAAGGAACAGGGAGAAACCTCACTTTGAGTGAAGAGAAAAATCTGACCACAGCATACACTTTAGTTTCAGAGGAACACAGAATCCTTTCCAGTCTGTTTTATACTTACATCGTGAAATGATCACAATTTTCTGCTTAGCACACTCTAACATACAAATGAATAAAAGTGCTGTTTTGTTTTCTTCAAACTTGGCAATAATTCGAGAGGATTTGAGATGATTTTTTTAAAGCTTGTGTTAGAGGACAAAAAATTAGGTACACAGCCTCAACCTCATAAAAAGCTGGGATTATATGACTGTTTTTCCACACACAGTACCTAAAATGAGTTAAGTACTTAGCAGGTGTTCAGAAAGTATTTGTTTAAGAAGAAAGAAAGATGGGAAGGACTGAAGTGTTTCCTTTTGAATTGTAGGCAGAAACTGTTCTAAAACATGTTCATGTCCTAACTCATGTTTCTTATTGCAAAGGCAGCCCCATCAATCACTAATGTCTTCACTCAAATCCAATGGCATTTACTGAGCAGCTACTATGTATGAGGATTGCCCCTTTTGCGTCTGTCACTCAGGATTAGTCTTTAATCCTGCAGCTGCAAAGCCCCAGGGGCCGTGAGCAGATGGGACTAGTAATAGGATTTCATTCGACCCAGTAACACTTTCACTCCATCTGGCACGTTATTCCTGGAACAGTCACTGGAAAAGAAATTGCACTAGGTAAAAACATTAACAAAGCCGGGGTGATGGGTTTCAGTCGAAACTGCATGTGACAAGTTGCTCTTCTGGTCTTACCATCGGCAGCTGCACACCTTTCTTCCACCCGGTTCCGTGTTAGCCTTCCTCTGTCCTTCCACACCTGCATCCTCAATTCATCCTCCTCTTAGACTAATAGTTCTGCCAACTCAGGATCCATCAGTCTCTCCACATCAGCATTAAGCTGTATGGAAAATGAGAGAATGAAGAACAATCTTCCTAAGATTTGGGTCACTTCCCTCCATTCTCATAGGCTTGGATAACTCTATTTAAAGTCCACTCGGCTTCTCCTCCCTGCCTTGTAAGAAGTGTACACTTCTTAAAGATGCCAAATTTCTTTTTCCCCAGACTTTTACCCACCAGACATATATGTTGCAGTTGCTGGAAAAATATTATTAAATGAGAACTTTTTCATGAAAAGAGTAATCATCACCTAGATAAATGAATAAATTTGCTACTACTGCATTTCTTATAAAGATGATAGCAACTCAATGTTGATCAAACTTATTCTTGCTAATGCTTATAAAGAAAAATAAAGGTTAAGAACTAACAAAATTTAGTGATTAAAAGAGATCGATTTAAAGTAGAAAAAACAGGAAATAGAACAATATACACTTTTTCTAAGACAAATCTGTTTAAGACATTTAGCTAAAGGAAAATGACACTGATCCAGAAATGTCAATGGCTAGTAGAGAATCACTAATAAAGAAGTTTTATTTTAAGCCTCTGAATTTCCTCTAAAAAGCCAAGATTTTAATATTCTTGGCTTGGACTTACTGTACTAAAAACACAGTAACACAAGGGAGAACAATGAGACATTCCTTAAGAGTTCATTTACTAGGTCAAGTGTGCGTTAGAATCTTAATTCTGATCTACAAAATCATTATTCTCTTACAGGTTAACTGAATATTTATATCCATGGACTATTTTAGGACACTTCAGAATTATTGTCATCATGCCCCATTTGCTCCATCTTTAGAATATTTAGAACACACACCAAAAAAGTATAAAGGCCTGTGTTTCTGAAATAATTTCACTTTACTTTTAAAATTGAATACATAAATGTCTGAGAGCGCTATTTTTTAAATTCACTTTCATGACAAACTCTTTATTGAGCCTCAAACTGTAATTCATGAGAAACTTGAGAAACTTCTAAAGATGAATTACATGTCCAACAATTGCCATTAAATTGGAGACACAGTTTCCTCCAATAATGAACACCTATAAGGTTTCTTTATATTATAAAAAAGAAGGAACAGGAGGAAGCGGGGAGAGAAGTGTACAATGAAGAGAAATAGGTGTGTGTAGCCAAGAGACAAGACGGAATTTGAAAGAGCCACGAGACCGTGGCTTAGAAAGATTAAATTTACTCCACGTGACTCCAAAAGGCAGAAAAGGGACCATGAGCACAAAGTCAAGAGAGGAGAGGGGAAACTCTCAACTTACTGTGGTAAAGAAGAACTTCCTATTAAAATGGTATACACGCACTTACGGAGTAACAAACTTAAGATCTTCAAAGGAATTCAAGTAGAAGCTGAAAGACTACTTAGCACGGACACTGAAATTGTGAATTTCTCTACTGGGTGGGAAACAAGGCTAGGAGGCCAGCTCCGTGATTCTCCACTTTACGTGTGTGTAGTCACATGTGTTGAACCCTTCTATAAGGTCAAAGAAGTGTAGGTGAGCACCTTTAAATAAATGCATTATAATTTACATGTCCGGGACGGACGTCTGCATTTCGGTGTTCAGCATCCATGTTCCTCCTCTGGTAGCATCAACTTGCTCTTCCCTTTGGAATGACCCAGTCCCTCTGGTCTGAGTGTGGCTGCTCGAAGCCCCACCTCTTCAGTTTGTCTCGTCCTCCTGGCCACAGACATGGGCATGTGACTAAAATCAGACCCAGGCAAATAATCTTGAAGTTTTCATTCAAACTAATGGGGAAGGAAAACTCTT